GAAAACGGCCGTTTGAGCACCCAAGATGAGCAAAGTCTGTGCGTCGCTCCGCTGTCGGAATAGTGCATATTTGTGCATTTTCGTGCTCACATGGTCAAATTCCGGTATGTCACCGAATGCCTCTTTCCACAGTCTCCACCCGTGATCTCCTCACAGCTGTTCGTCATCGGCTGCCCCTAGGCGTCAGAGGCTTTCGAGTATTCCCTCAGACACACTATGTTAGTAAGCCTAAAATAGCCCGGCCCATCTTCAACTCGGACACGGAGAGCGAGTAGGGACCAAGCCCTGCTGGGGCGTGGACACGCCGCACTTTCAGGCCCTCCCAGTTGATCATTGTGGAGCCACTGGATAAGGAAGAGCTTCCTCGCTACCGGCGGCAGAACTATAGTTATCTCGATGTAGGCGTGGGCATCCGAGGTTGGCTCATGGAAGATTCAGATTAGGCCCAATTAGAGGCCGAGAATGGTATAGAGTCTGATGAGGAGGAGGCAGGTAATAACGAATTAGATTTTACTAATACTCAGCAACTGCGGACGTCTCTGAATTCGATCATGTGGAAAGCCTTAGTCAAAGTAAGACCCTGGTGCGTTGGTCCTTGCACTGTATATTAGGGAGACTACAATGAGTGGTATAAGAGTAGCAGGCTCTTCAAGGCCCATAACCTACCTATGGACGAGACTTCCTACTCTTTATTAGCCCACGGCTATATCCTCTCTCACAGGCATATGGCGTCTTCAGCGTTAATGGTAGGTGGTCGAATACGGGAAGCCATGTGAGGCAAACCCTAGGTTTTACAAGAGATGAAGGAGGCGGACATGCACCCGGCGTTAGTCAAGCTAAACGAGCGATTCATCCATGGCTATCTCGAGCTCCAAGACCTCGGTCTTACGCCAGAGAAGACAGCTTGGCAGACTGTACGTGAGAAAGGGGCGTTCGGGAACCTCTTATCGTACTAGGTCCTGAGGACTTGTTGGCAATGTGCAGTTCGACTGAAGCGGAAACGTCTTCAA